AAAGCTCACTTGGTGACGAGCAGTTCTTCATCAACAGCATATTCCACACAATCATTAGCGTCTTCTAATGGTGGCATAGATTCATCATCGGATTCACCCTCGGTTTCAATTTCTCCATCTTCTCTCAAGATCATCATGAGCTTATTAGGGCATTGCGATGCAACATGCCCCTTCCTAAGCATTGAAAACACTTGATGTCTCGGTTTCTGCCTTACGTATTATCTGTTTTATTCTTCTCAATGCTGCCAACTTCTTTTGACTTAGATGCTACAGTTTTACGCTTAAAAGCAGAATTTTCTTCCTTTTTGCTCCAATTCAGTTTCCAAGAAGATGAGGAACCTGAATTTTGCCTAGTTCTGGTGGTGGCTCCTTTACACTTGAGTTGCCGTTCTACTTTCATTGCCATATGCACCATATCTTCTAATTCCACATAATACTACAGCTCCACCGCATTAGCTATATCACGATTTAAGCCATGCAGAAACCGTGCCATAGTTGCTTCTTTGTCCTCTTCCACATTTGCTCTAACCATTGTGATTTCCATCTCTTTGTGATAATCCTCACGCTTTTGGACCCTTGAGTAAGGTCCTACAATCATTGATAGAGGTCACGGTAGTAGTGACTAGGAACAAATCGTTTTCTCATCATAGCTTTCATCTCTTCCCAATTGTCAATAGGGCGCTCTTGATTTCTATGTCGATTAAGCTCAAGTTGATCCCACCACACCACAGCGTAATCAATAAATTCCACCGTTGCTAGTTTCACCTTTTTCTCCTCAAAATAGTTATGGCAATCAAACACCAATTCCACCTTTTTTTCCCACTCCAAATACACATCTAGATCAATTTTGCCTTGAAATGAAGGAATCTTCATCTTGATGCTACCTAAGTCACGATCTTGCCGATCTCCCCACCACATCAGATTTTGCTCTCCTTGGTTAAACCTAAATTTTTGATCCCCTCTACCTTTCATAAATCTGTCCATGCTGAAATTTGAGTTCTGGGCATTATTGTTGAATGCTTCTTCATAATTGTCATTGAGATCATCATTAGCATCATGCATACGCAAATTCGGACTTCCATTTTGTATTTGATATAAATTGGCTATAGCTACATCTTGCTTCTCCATTTTGTCTTTAATCTCACCAAACGTGATGTCTAGCCTCTAAAATTGTTGTTGCATTGCTTTGAGCATGAAAGATTCATCCACATGGTGTCTTCTAGTGATTGATTTGTCATCACCACTTAACATGATTGAAACCTACAACGAATGTTAGAAACAGAAGAATAAAAGGACCTCACAACACTCCCTTACATGTTTCACTCCACTCTCTCATAAAATGGCACTCAACGCTCGTGTTTTGCACACTATAGAACTTGGCTTTTCTCTCAAGTGTTGCCCACACCTCTTGCCTTTTTCCCTCACTCAACTTTCCTCTTTCAGTTCATTATTGAACTAAACAAGCTCAATCCAAGTTATTTTGTAGCAATCTAACTCCAACAAATTTGTAACAAGAGTTAAAAGAAACAGAAAAACACAAAGGATCGAATAAGAAAAGCAATAAAAAGAACCAAACCCAAACAAATTAAAATGAACAGATCAGTTTAAGCACTTCCTATTAGGAATTGACTTGACTACTCCTTAATGCAGTAGGATTCCTAACTTAGGAAGGAATAAACAAAATTTACTATCTCCTTGTTTGAATAGCACCCAAAGAGAATTTCCAACTCCTTATTGGAGCAGGATTCCTTTTTCTTTAAGGATTTGGCCATAGATTTCTTCTCTATATAAGAAATTCCAATCACATAATTGTGTTGCTTGTTTTTCTCTCTTTTTTTTTTTTTTTGAACCAGCAACACAAATTCAGAAGAGCAAAATAAGAAAGAGAAGAATGACACTGAATTTTTTTTTTGTTTTGTTTTTGACAATAAAAATTGAAAATTAAAGATACACAAACCTGATTTAGGATCTAATGCTTTGATACCAAGATGATGAGAACCCCAAAGAGAACAATGAGGCCCACAATTTGACAAGGGATTTCTAAACTCCAGGAAAACCAAATTAGGTTTATAATAGGACCTTGACCCGTTGTTTATGTCATAATAAGAACCAAAGGTAAAAACGTTGACCCGTTGTCTATGACGCAACAAGAACCAAAGGTATAAAGTTGGTTGATGCCACACCCTCCAACGATTAAGAACGAGAATGATAAGTCAGGTTGGAATGCCACAAGAATAATCTTGATTAGTTCTATAAAGTTCTGAAACGAACCAAAGAGAAAAGTTTCTGAAAAACTCAGATTCAATTGCTCCGCCAATTAGGGTTATAAGCCCTTTAAATAGGGAAAAGTAATTATAATTAGAATAGACAACTAACACCCTAAGCCTTAATCCTAATAACCACAAATTGGGCCTCAAATAAATGAATGTTCAGCCCATAATAATACAAAAAACGTGAAAATCACTGAAAGTAACCTAAAGTAACATGAAATATCAGTTTGTTATAAATTGCGACAAAATTATGGGATTTTCATGCAAACTATGTAATTTAGCATAAATGACCTCAATTAAGCTTTTCTTGAACCTGAATGATGTTTACCATGCCTTGATAATCATCCAAGCTTTGATTTACTTATTGCATGTTGTTATCAACCTAGATTTGCTCAATAAGGCCATTTAAAACTTTTCACATCTTCCTAGCTCTAGCTCTCGTGATTGGACCTCTTGGAATGTGTAATGGATCTCTTGACGTGGTACATGTGGGGTCATCTTGATTCCCATCAAGAATAGCATGAATGAAGGGTTTGTGGGGCTCGTATTAGTTGTCATACTTGCTTCCTAGTTTGTTGATGGCATAGTTATGGGTGAGATCCCTTAACTAAAATTTTTAGCCCCTATGAATTGATTTATCATCTCTTTTTTAGATGAATTGTGCTTGAATGTGATCTAATTAATTAATCTCAACCTCACCTCTAGTTGTAGTGTTCATGTAAATGTTCAATATTTGATTTTGAGTTTTCACATGTTTTATCAATGTAATACCTTGGTGCACATTAGGGTTAGTTTGTAACCCTCATAATTTTCATAAATAAATGTATTTTGCATGAGGAACATCTCTAAGAACATCATATTTTTATTCATATTTTAAAAACCAATCATTGAATTGAAATTTTATTCATGTAAATCTATCATATTAATTTTTATATTGATCTAGTAAACTTAACTAGTTTGTTGATTATACACAATTTAAAATCATTGAATGTATGTTAGTAAATATAGTTTTTTAATCAAAGAGCTATAAATATTAGATCAATTTAAAAATTAAATTTATGATCTACATAAATAGAATATTTAATTTAACAGTTGGTTTTGAAAATATTAATTGTAAGGTGAAGTTTAGAATGATCTAAAAAGGTTTGAGAGAACAAAGTGTACTACACTAACCTTATTTTCTTATATCAATAAATTCTATTTCTTATAAAAAAAAATTTAGCAAAGGTTGATTGACATCCCTACAAGTGGGTGAAATTCCAAATGCAATGTTTCTTCCTACCTTGAATTACTCTAATGAAATTCTTGATGAAACTAGTTTTAAGTTTATCAATCATTGTAGCCAACAAAATGAGTTTTGTTTTGTTGGTGATAAAAAATCAAAGAAGATTAGATTTTTCCAATCACAATGCCATGGGAGGGTTAAATATTTTTATTAAATGAAAATAATAAAAAATTTATATACAATTTAAGTTTTGGAGAAACATATTACATTTAAGTAAAAATATTAAATATTAAGGCCAACGAATATTTAATACTATTGTTATTTAATAGGGTTTTATTTTTATCAATTTTTCAATAGGGTTTTAGGCTAAGTCAATTGTTCATTACCTAGTTAACCTGTATTTGGTTGGGTTCACATACCTGGTCAACTAAAAAATCAACTTAAAAAGTGAAAAAAATAAAATAAAATAAAAAATTAATACAAGATCTTGAATTGCTTAGGTATGCATTCTTTGAAATGCAAGAGAAGCACTACTTCCTATATACATAATTTATAGCTGTCTCCTAGGATAAAGGCATGGAAGAACAAAATTTCATAGAATTTCATATCATTTTTAAATTTGGCTTAGCAAATTGGTGACTTCATGATGGGGATATACTTCTCTAATGCCATTGAAAAAGTAGCATTGATGACATTGGTGGCCTTAGCTAGGGTGAAAAAAAGATTGTGTGGTCCATCACATCTTTGGAATATAATTGGATTTAGATAATGACGCAACCAATTAATCCTTTTCATTTTCCTATTCATTTTCTTATCTTATACATTGAGAAGAAAATCTAGCGTAATCACGCATTATAATATTTTTCTGTGTACTTGATTCATGAGTTAAAACCTCAATATATAGATATCGATATTAAAACTTAGGTGAAAGTATTTATTTTTATCTTATACAATATTTTTATTTGTAATCAACACTTTTATAGATTTTTACTTGTAGTCAATACCGTTTACTCTTAAAATGCAGTGATAATCCCCAAATTTGACAAATCACCATCACTCGTCATTAACTGTTAGGCTACTTGGTACATATCAAATGACCTAGACAAACTTTTCTTATATAGAAAAATCTTAACACATAGTATTGATACTAAGTAAGATGGTGTCAACCCTTAACCCTTGCTGCGTTAAGATTGAGTGTCCACACCTTCTTGCTAAGCATCAACACTACACGTTAAGACTTTGCCACGTAAAAATAGTTTGTCCACGTCATTTGAAATGTGCCACATAGGCATATGGTTGATAGAGAGTTGTAATATCCCAAAATTTTGTGATATTTAGCATTTAGTTAGGGGTTTAATTGTGAAGAAATAATATTGTTGGGCCTAATAGTGAATATTTCAAAAGTTGAGGGACTTAAAAGAGTAAAAATTTGGATAAGGATCAGTTATATTTTTCCTTCTTTCTCCCCAGCCATTTTCGCGTTTCTGCTCTTCTTCTTTTTCCTCCCCTGCACCAAACAAAGCCCCCAAGCCCGACAGCACCTCTCTTGGGAAAAAACCGGTAGGAAGCTTGAAATTTCTCCTTCTTTCTTGTTCAATAACAAGTTTTAGGACTTAGAACTCTCTCTCTCAACCCAGAAATTTTAGATCTGCTGCTGCCTTCTCCTTCCTTTCGCCACCGGTTGCTGCTGTGGGTAGTGGGTTCGATTTTCTGGTAAGGAACACAACATGAACTTCATCTTTTCCGCCTTAATTTGGCTTGGGTTCACTCTAAGCTCTTTTAATTTCCTTCAATTTTGGGTTAATTCCATGAGCTTCCCCTGCACTTCCCGCCGGTCTCCCCAAGCCACAGCTCCGATTTTTGCTAGGAAATTTTGGTATGTTGACGGCTCCTCCAAGCCCGAAATTTCATCAATTAGTTGCTGAATTTTGTCCATAAATTGTTGCTTGTGCTGTCTGAAATTCTGGATTAATTAAGGGAGGAATTTGACAGTAATTAGACCATGATTTAGCTTAATTCATGTAGGAATTAGTTTATTTTGGCTGTTGTGATTTTTGGAGAAAATCCCGTGAGATTAACTATGGTTTTGCCCATTTTTGGAAGTTGCAGTTACTGTTTATTGCGTGATTACTGTTCACAGTCACTGTTTACACACTGATGGCCAACAATTAACGGGGATTAAATGTTTAGTTTGTAATATAAAAACAAATTTGGAGATGTCTGGTCATGTGGAGACTGATAGGAATAGCATCGTGATTAGGGGTAGTCCTAATGATGATTTCATTTTGAATTTGTGGTAGTGTGATATTAATTATGGATATTTTGATTAGGTTCTTGATCATTGGTTGCCCTAGCACTTGGGTCAAGTCATTTGTTTTACATGATTTGATGTAAGTAAATTTATGGTAATGCCCGTACAGTTTTTAAAAGTATGTTTTGACTTGTTTTTGAAGTGATGGCAGGACTAAACTTGTTTTATACAAAATGAGCATGATTGATTTGAAATAACAGATGGCACATTAACTTGTCAACAAATCACTGAATTTTTTTAATTTTAATGACGTGTAAATTCCATGTAAGAAAATTTAATATTTTTTTATTATTATTTCATAATTT